ATATTTGTTATTCTTTCGGATTAAGGTTTTATCACAATCGCGAGTCAATTATTTATATGAAAGCATTTGATTCACGAGTGTAATGTGTTATCAGACGGTTAAACGTACTATTTCTTTATTTTCTCGATCGGATTAACTTTGTCATTACGATCTCCTAGCATTCGGATGTGTTGAAAAGTAGTCAAGGTTCTGAGCGATGCACAAAAAAAAATAACCAGTGAAAAAGTCAGATTTCATACCGATATAATGAATGTTATCTTATTTATACATCATCTTTTATCATTATCGTTTACAATAGTGATCATCGCAACAATTTTTTCGTTACCCCGACCTTATTCTCGGTCTAAATCGTCGACCAAGTAAAAATCGGTAATCGGTAATAATAATTATACACAATATAATAATTATACAGTGTGTTTTCCTTTTTTACGAATGTTTTCACAATTTCTTTCGTTCATATGCTCATTAAAACACATGCGCTCAAGCATTTTTATATCTTGTATCATTTTGCTTAATCACTCGCTCATTCACTCACATGTGTATCCAACAATTCTCACACATCTGTTTTTTTTTTTTTTTTTTTTTTTTTTTTTTTTTTTTGTTACTTCGCTCTTTCTCTCTCGCTCGAGTCGCTGATGCTGCTGTTGATAAAAACTCTGTGTACTCTTTTTTTCTATTATACCTTCTAATGTGTATATTACTTAGATAGCTTAACTGTTACTTCGTATACATTTTTAAGGCGATGATTCAATCGAATGAACTCATTATAAAACGAACAGCCAAACTGTCGGATCGCATCGTATCTCTTCTGTTTTTATGTTATCATTTCCAAATTTCACATCGTATATAGCTTATTGGAGCATTACTATTGGTAAATCGTATACACGCTTTAAAATTAGAAATCCGGCCAAATCGCCACTGAAAGCGGCGAAATTATGCGAATTCATGATTCAGCGTCGAACCGAGGTTCGGCTAAATTTTATGATAATCGTATTTGTATTTCTATATTGAACCCTGTAACAAAAGGCAGCGACAGTGGGCTTTCAACGATCGGTTCGCCGGATTCCTTTATATTTCGTTGCCTTGCTCGACCTTCTCGTTCGACATCCCAGACAAGGCTTACTAACAATGCGGTTCTTCGTTATTTTTTCTCCCGCCCTCATATCGTCTATTACCGGCTATTATTTGTTCGTCAATTAAAAGATCGTAATGTGAATAATTTCGTGGAAAGATCGGTATTGAAAAAGTGCTGTGTATGATCAGTAAGGCCTGAGTGATCGTACGATCGATCGAGCCGAGCAGATTAGTCACTGAAGCCGATTTCGCCTGATACTTGTACGTTGATTAAACGAACGTGTAATAAAAAGCCGAAACTCCTGGCGTTTTGGGGCTCTGCTGACATCACCTTGATTTACGATGCGGGCATTCAATAAAATTAAAGAATCTACACGGTTAACAAATACAATACGATAAAAAACAAAAAAAAAAAGAAAGAGAATAAAGTAGAAGGATTAAAGGCTGTCCGCATCGTAGTGATCTCACCGCGAGGGCAATAGATTAAGAGAAAATTTGTTAAAATTCGCTTCTATTTATTATACGCATCTACGGTTGATTGTCTGCTTCGATCGAGTTATCTCATTGATAAAACAAGCGACTGCTTGGCCTCGAGAATAATTGATATTCTTGAGGCTCGCGCGTAAAAATTTCTTTAAAAGATAAAGTAGAGCCTTTTACAACAATATTTTGGACAAGAGTTTCGGCCACCATCAAAGGCATTTTTCATTCATTTGGATTTAAATGGGTGTTGATTATTTGGAGAAAGATTTATATATTTCTACACTCACAAAGCCATTAAATAATTATTAAGAGTAACTGCTGGGTTCAAGTTCCATTTCTTTCTTCAATTAATCAAGCATACGTGAATTTTTAGCCACCTGAGACTTTTGGTATACATGAATTTCCATTTTCATATTTGTTTTAGTATACTAAATCATCGATATTCATAACACCGAAAAGTAAACGATCATTCGCATGGTAAGTTCTTAAGTATGGTTTTATTTAATAGTTAACGCAAATATAACGATCATTAATCGATATAATCAACAATTGGTAATGGGATTGGATCAAGTGATATAATGGTTCATTAAGTTTTGACGCTGAATATTTTTCAAAACTTTATATCGCCGTACTCTCAGATAAGTCCTTTTTATTCTCACGAAATGCCATCACTTTTACAGTTGTTATGAGTTTTGACTTGTAGGTTAAGTGTGATTTAAAAATTATAAAGATATTTCAATAATCTCTGGTGCAAGTTGAGCGTATGTAAAATATGAACAATTTCGATTTACAGTTTATATAATCATTTCTGTCTCTTTCTGTTTTCTTCTGCGTAAAAACGATCGCTCGCTAGTTCGCATTGAAGTAAAAATGATTCTAAATGTTGTCATTACCAGGAGCCTCATCAAAATAAGCTTTGTTTCGTATTTTTGTGTTCCCTTTCTTTGAATCTATCGTTTGTTCTCTCCCCCCCCCCGCCCCGCTCTTTCTTTTTCACCCAATTTACTTTTCTGCTAGCACTCTTACGTATATCAAGGACATTTAGTATCTAGAGATAAAGAATGAACTTTCATGGTATCTTTTCTTGCTCTCTTACTGGCACTCATTCAATTGAAATGGGCGTTGAAGGTTCGACGTCCGTTTTATTTTTCTTTCATCTTCTTTTTATTCAGCGGAAATAGAGGTAAAAATCGTATACGACGACGTGACACTGCGAATAAATTAAAAGGCAAGAAAAACACACTGACCTTGACGAATCGCCAATCTGGAGTAAGCGCACTTTAACGAAAGAAAAACTGTTAGGGAAAAGGGATATAAATGGGATTAAATCGAGCTTTCGTTCTCTCTCTCTCTCTCTCTCTCTCTCTCTCTCTCTCTCTTTCTATGCTTTCGGTATATCGCGAATTATACGCACGCACACACACACCTCTCTCTCTCTTTCTCACTCTTTCACTCTCTATCAATGTTGCTCTCTTTCTCTCTCTCTCTCTCTCTCTCTCTCTCTCTCTCTCTCTTTCTATGCTTTCGGTATATCGCGAATTATACCGATCCACATTGTCCTGCTATAATTCAAATATCCTCGCACATTTTTAGTGCAAAATAGGAAAAGGATTTTTCAATGCACTCTGTTCTATATATTAATTACCGTTTGCTTTTTTTGAGACGCGTAGAGCAACAATAACGAAAATTAACAATAATGAAAAAATGCAGACGAACCGAATGTGGACTGTGTGTGTGTACTTTCGGACCCTAAATGTCGGCTACTCCCATACTATATTTATAATATGTATATTTTATAATACATCGCTGTTTTGTCTTTTATTTCCATGCCCTCGCGCCTTATCAAACACCCATTGTACTCACAAAAAAGTAAAATCAAGCTTTTTCGTTCACTCTTACGCACAACAGATTTGCAAACATTCCCATTCGTCTATCACCTCGCAGTAACTTTATCTCTTTCTCTCTCTCTCTCATACACACGCACACACACGCGTACTCTCTCTCTCTCTCACTCACTCCCACACTCTCTATCTATCTATCTACCTATCTATCTATCTATCTGTATATTTTCAATTCCTACACTCATACTCGTTATCTCCCAATTCAATTAACTATTTATACACAATATATTATAGTAAATCTTAATCGTTAACTCTCTAATTATTTCCTAAGTTTTTTCAAGCGGTTTTTCGTCGCTTCGGTACCCTTCGGCTTTTCATTTCCTGCAAATACCTTCGGTACCTATGCTCCTTTTCGCGCCTCTATTTTTATCTTGTTATACTCCTTAGCGTCAGATTCTTTATTCCTACCTTTCGTTCCTGTAAAGTCAGATCCTTGTTCCAAACGTAGCCTCCTGTCTTACAACTCTCTCCCTCCCATTTATATTACAATGCGGAGCGAGGCGCGATCCTCTGTCTTTCCTTGTTTGTCTTTTTTTTTATAATGATTTATTTATTTATATATTTATATAGTTTATTTTTATTTAGTTAGTAAATTTATTTATAATTAAGAACTGTACAGATTCAATGTTCCTATTGCGTGTCGAGAAAATCCGTCAACGCCTTAGTGAGCGACCACACTTTTAATTATTTATTTTTTCCAACTCGTATATAATTGTCCTTCGCCCCTAAGGGTCGATAGCCAGCGAGGACGAAGCCCCGAGTTCACGAAAGCTTGCTATCTTCCATTTTAACTCCCCGAACCGGAGTTGACTCGTCGACGAGTTCCGATGCGGTTTACGAGGACCATCCGCTGCCGGTCCAAAATCCTCGTGGATCTCTCATCTTACATTCGCGTTCGAGGGCGCATTTTTATGCTGCCCTTTTCTCTCCTTCACCACTCCCTCCTTATATACGCCATTTGTGAAGTGTGGGTTTAACTCGTAGCGTGAGAATTCCATTGTAATGTACATGCCCGCTAAAAATTGCCTATATCACTATGTTCATTACATATATAGTCTCTGAATTGCGATCGTATTAAAATTTAACATTTAATATTTTCAATCACTACAATATTACACCGCAAATATTTTGTACAAAGAACAATCACATGAATTTTCATCTCGCTACCCACCACCGACGTTTTTTTATTTTCATTTGTTATACTTCCTCTTCTGCTTAACTCTCTTTTTTTGTTTAAATCGATCGTCTCGATAAGCGTCACCTCGATTCTACCGGGCTCTTCTCAACGATGCCATTTTTCCTGCTCGGCTTTCCTTTCCATCCCCGTACGAGATCGCACCCCTTCATTATAGCGCCTCTTCTTCAATCGCCGCCCTCTAGACGTCAGGAAGGCAGATCGGCAGGGCTCTCTGCTCGGTTCGATTCTTCCGTCACGGGGAACCCCTTCAGTTTCCTTTAGTATTCATTGGCGGTATCTCGCGTACTCGGCGAGTACGCGCAAGGATAATATCCTTCGTCGAGCCTGTCTCGAGAGCCTCGCGGGCCTCAGCGGCCGAGTCGAGGGGCATGAATAATCCAGCGAGATGAGCATCCACGAGGCAAGAATCGTCGGCTCTGCTCCTAATTTAATTAATATTTCTTTTTCAACGCATCGCGGTGGCTCTGCTAGTGGTCGCACGTACACTTCCACATAGTACCCGGTCTGCGCTCTAGGACAGTCATGCTTCATCCTGCTATCTCATCGTCACGACGTCTCATCAACGTCTTTCGTTCGCCTACGCGTGCATCCAGCTGAAACAGAAATCAAATATGCATGCGTGTTATTGATATGTACCCCTCTCTCTCTCTCTCTCTCTCTCTCTCTCTGCCTGTCTGTCTCTCTGTCTCTCTCTTTCTCTCTGTCTGTCTGTCTCTCTTCCCCCCCTCTCTCAAACATTTAATACTTTATACGGATAATTTATGGGCATTATTTCGTTATTTATTTAATTAAAACTATTATTTTTTGGCAAATATTCACGAGATGGGATAGGAATTAATAAATTAATTAAATTAAATACAATCGATATTCTAAGATAATGTAATATTTTACTACCCATGCAATTAATTATTAAACAATCTCTCTGCTAATCCTTACCAAAGATACATAGATAAATTTCAATAAAAATAAAGTAAATAATAATATTCAAAAACAAACTAAATAAATGTATGCTTTATGCTGTATGCCTGAATCAAGAAATTTGTCAGTTGACTCTACACGGAAGCTTTTAGTAGAATAGTTAATTTGCATAAGCGTTTGGTATATCCAAGTGATTATAATCGAGCCGTCGAGTAATTAGTGCAACGCACATTTTGTAATATTTGCAAATGGAAATTAAAAGTGAGAAGAACGATAAAGTAACCCACTTACACGGCTTTGATAATTAAGAGCGTATATTTTTCTACTCGTTGGCTCGATCATACCCGTTCAGATGATGTGCCTAGCTGTTTCTCTCCTTTTTTTATTTTCTTAGTAATCCCCTAGCGAAAGCAATTGCGGTATACATGAGGCGAGGATTAACATCGGATGGATATCGACAAGCTTGCAATGGCTTTATCATGGCAATTTTAACGTGGCGATAGTTACCTTTATAAGTGATGCCCGTAATATTCGGGTGGATAGTGGTACTGATTGTGGAAGGTCGGGTCGCCTGGAGGTCGGTGCATCATACTGGCCGCTTGTCCGTCCATCATGTAGCCCATCGTCGCGTCCGGACTGTAAGCACCGCTCGGACCTGCGGACAATGTCGGAAACACTACACGTTATTACGGTTAGAACTCTGTTCTGCCTTTGGTAAAGCCGCAGTGGTCGAGCTCGTCACTCCTCATGCCAAGATTAATCAACTTCTATTAGTTTCATTTTAAGGATCGAGGTGACGAGCTCTGTGTGTCGTGTGTGAAATGTCGTTTTTCAATTATCAGCTCTTAGAAAATCTCCGGCACTGTCACCCTTGTAAACAGTCATATTATTTTATTATATTCCGTGCACGTGTTTACCGCTCAGTCGGCATTAACGTATATATTGCGAATTCTTTTGTTGCGCGTATGCGCATTATCGAATTCTCACTACCTACTTATTTCAAGAGATGCTTGTTGGGGCGTTACTAATTGGACGTCTATTCGATGTTAATTTGGCAAAAGATTTGAAACTGGTAAGAAAGGTGCAAGTTCGTTAGTGTAAATATCGCTAATAATTTCCGAGCTAACGAGGTTGATAATTTCCAGAGAATGTACCAACGAGTATATAAGCAGTCAGGAACTCTCGCACTTTATTTTTCTCCCTTTCAGATTCTTGAACGAGTAGCGCGAGACATTGCGAATATGCGCTCTGACTCCGGGTGAACGAGGGTAAGGCGATTTTAGCATAAGAAAGACCTTAAGGTCCAATGCGCAATAGGACAGACGGCATTCCGACTGGTTTGCGCATCTTTTGCGTGCTTCGCGTGAAAACTCGTACAGGGGAGGATGATGACGTAGGGGCGCAATCAGTGTCCTTGATTTATCGTGGCAATAGACATTAAGATACCGACATTAAAACCGAGGGATTCGAGCTTACTCCCATAAGGGCAAAAGTAGGCCTGTATTACCGGTGGCGATGACAGTCGAGTCATTCACCATTTGTGAAGAAAAGCAGGAGAGTATCATGGGATGCGCTTCCGTTTTTCATTTAATTCCGTAAGCTGAACGGTTATTGCGTGATTGCAATAACCCTCGGGTTTAGAAATCATTCCACGAATATTTTGCCTGTAAATGTTTTACCAGTGATGGTAAATATTTATCAAGGACAATTGTTGAAGTTCGCCGTTCATATTCGTCGGTAAAATGGGAATGCGCGACTGTGTTTCTGACTCGAATGAAAGTCAAATTGCAATATTGCAGTGGTCGAGTTCTTTGCAGCTTTTCATTATAATATCGTTGTATTGAAAATATGAAAATTGCTTAATTCTTAAGCTGTTCGTTGATCAGTTTTAAAATATTTTGTATTACATTAGTGACCTACAGAATGCAATGACGACTATAAAATCGAATCGTTAACACATTATTGCGCGATACTTAAGGATTGAAAAAACTTTATTGCATGCTCGAACAAAGCTCAAACTGGCACATTTTGAACAAGTGATTTCCACTACAATCCTTCAGTCAAGAAAAACAGGATATTCCTCTTTATAAAAATCTCCACCATAAATTTTTTAATAATTAAAAACGATGTATTCTATCATCCCTTTTAGCTTTAAAAACTGTTTTTCTTATTTCGGACTTCATTTGTTTTCCATCCGCTTCGTTCCTTTAGTCCCTTTTCATTATCTTTGCTTCTCCTCGCTTATATCTTTCAGAGACTCGCGTTGCCGGGAAAAATATCATACAGGTTTCACTGCAACAACTTGCGCAAGATTATTACGGATCCCGACAGCTGATCGCCACGACTGAATTCAGGCACTAGTAGCCGTCGCGAAGGGCACGATACGCGTCTTCCCCCTCCTCGTTTGCGTTTTCACTCCCTCCCCCTCTCGCACTCTCTCTCTCTCTCTCTCTCTCTCTCTTTCGCTATCGGATCTCGGCACTCGAGGAATGCAGTCTCATATTATGGCCACTCGAGCGATATCCCACTAACGAGGGATGCGCTTGTAGTGTGATTAAACCGCGCTATAACGCAGCAGGGAGCCTCCGCCACGACGTAGTCGGACCACAATATGGGAAATTAAGGAATAGCCTATGCCGTCAAGATGAGAACCTACGTCTTCGTCGTCGTCCATCCATGGGGGATAAAGTAAAATGAGGGGGGAAAGGAAGAAGTCGATTTCGAACCGACGATAACTCTAGACACTCAATATTTATGCATTCGGTAATAATTAGAAGCGCCTTTGTACTCTCGTATTTATAGTTTGTTGATGTGTACGTAGGTAGAGATTTTTGCTTTTCACCACGCCTTTTAGATGATGTTTCTGCAGCTATTTAACACGCGATCGGTCTGTGTGCGTGCGTGTTTTAGTTTGCATGGATGGTGGTGATGGTGGTGGGGAGGGGGGGGGGCGACAGATTTACGCGTGACGTCAACGCGGCGATGGGAAAATTCGAGATTAGAGCGAGAGATTGAGGAGAGTCCGAGTGGTAAACAGGCTTGTGGTGGACGGTGATTTTTCGAGTATAGAAAAAAGGAATCCGCGGCTAGTGAGTCAAGATGGATGATGGACTCTATGGCTGGATTACGTACGAAGGCAACAAGAAAACTTTTTATGAAATGAAACTCTCCCTCGAGTTACGTGTATACTTCGCATGCGAATACTATTTATGCGCGTGTAACAGTCGCATCGCGATGAACTTGTAGATTATTTGTGAGATTATAGCGAGCGTTCAGCTCCGTGGTGATTTACTTTAGTTACACGCCAAGCTTCGCGTGCATCATTCGTTAAATAAGGGAATTTCGATTAATTTTATAAAATAACTATAATGTTTGTAATTTAATGCTCCGTTGCTATTATAATAATAATTATTTTGTCATTGCAGCAAGGAGCCGATACATATTTATTTGAATAATCCGGGATATTATTAGCTTAATATATGATCGTAAATAAAAGATAAATATCTTATGCGAGGACAATTTATACGAAGCTCGATTACAAACTACGTGTATGTATTTTCATTAATTTCTTCTTCTTTTCTCTCATACAATTATATACGGAAGATAAGAGGGGGCCATCTAGTCGTATAATACTGTTGTGCTACACCGTTCAATTTTCCTATCCAATATAATAAATCCTGACATTCCATTAATAAGAAAAATAATTATATTATCCTAAATTTCTTCGTGAGATCGTAAGAGCAAGAGTAAAGTGACAATGGAATAAGCGCCTTATGTTTTTAACGGAATAGAGCTGCCCCGCCAGCGTCGCTTTATATGCCTTGTCAGCCGGAAGAGGCGCAAGCGCGAAGTGACAGTAGTGGTTGAGAGTGATAATAATTGCTCTCACGAAAAAGAAAATCGGCAGAAGCGGTTGACATGTAGAGCTCGGCTTAGCCAAAGTGCGTGCGGTCAAAATGGAGGGACGGAGTTCGGGGCTCACCGTCACCGGCATCCCCGGCGTCCTCTGAGTCTTCTCCGTGAGCCCTGGCGGGAGATTCATTGGGACGGCCGCGAAGACGAGGAAAAAAGATCGCTCCCATGCCCTGGATAATGTAATAAAGCACCGGTGTGTTTGGAGCCGCGTAAATCCTGTTCGCCCTGGGACATTCTGCCTCACCACCCTCCCCCTCATACCTCTCTTCCATGTCTAATTTATTTAGAGAGTAAGAGTGGGTGGTTGGGGGAAATGAGCCGGAGTCCCGTTAATTGCCCTTGGTGCGCTAAGCTACGAGAAAGTATTCCGTTGATATGGATTGAGGAGAATGGTGTGGAGAGGAGGAGAGTCGATACCGCCGTCTTCTCGGTGCTTACACCGTCGCGAGAAGGAAGAAAAGAAGATGACGGGAGTGTCGGTGCTAGCGATCCCCTTTGCCATGCTGGGATTTTCCCTCGATTACGGTTTATTCCTTTTGCAAATACCGCATCTGTCATTTTATATTAAAATGCGCTTAACGAATCAAGGCGTATCGGGGTATTTATTTTTGAAGTCCTCGGGTGGAGGCACCGAGGACATGTGACATTACGATTGTCCTGCCAAGGTCTCGTAGACGTTGATTGCTACTGCGTCTTTTGACCCGAGTGATTTTATTACTCGGAATGGACTGATGACTTTGTTTCTTTGCAACGACAATAAAGAGATGTGTGGATTATGCGATAATGAACAAATGTGCAATGATAGATTAATATGAATTGACTATTCAATGTGATTTGTGTATTATATTGGCGTGTCTAACATCAATGAATCCGACATTTCATATTTTCGTAGATTAAAGTTAAGCATCAAGTCAAGCACTCTAGTTTAATAGAGATATAATGACGTACGCTGCTTGCGTTTATTTATTTTTATTAATAAACATCACTCATCATTTTTTTAATTAAAACATAGAGCTATTATTATTCGAACATGAGGAGCAAAGATATAGAAGATCCTTTGCAATATGGCTTAAACACTTTTGTTATTTTATCACTTTTCGTAAATTTTTTTGAATGTCGACCTTTTTACAAATAAACACATAAATTATGATTTATACTAGTAAATTATTCAAGATTTCTCACGCCAAAGCATCGATAAATGAGATCATTTGTATAAGCCTTCGTATAAAGCGAAGGCGATGTTCTTTCAAATGTACTTAGGGATTCGATGAAATGAAAAGCTTTACGATTGTAACATCGCAAAAAGAAGACAATTTCGCAATGTCGTAGCGCGAATAACAAACTCCACATATATCCATTGCCAAGTTTATATTTTTATAATTACGAAATATATCGAGAAACACGTCTCCTCAAGTGGGTCTTAACAAGCCTGAGCGACCTTCTCATTTGCAAATACGAAGGGAAGGCGGAGGCTCGTGAAGGGAAAAAATCATCGATTCATCGCTAAGAATACGAACGGTGACTCTCGCCTCGCGTACTGGCGACGTAACTCCTTAAAGAGACCGCCTAATTAGATTTCTGCGCTTGGCCGTGTGCGTACGTAGGGTGTACGTGTGAGCGGGCGTCTCAGCGAGTGGAAATGAGCGAGACTGAGCCGAGGACGGGAGGAGATAGAGAGATAGAGAGCGAGAGAGAGAGAGAGAGAGAGAGAGAGAGAGCTAGAAATCCCATCGGCTTTCTCGGTGACTTCGTCGTCGTATC